TGTATTATTATACCTACTTGAAGTTTAGTTAACAATTGCATTATGGATTGTGTGTATTTTGTTTGCAATCTTAATTTTGCTGACCTTGATGTCCCAATAAAATGTGATGGTTGTAATTTTCAAGCTCATAGTAAATGTTCTGGACTTACAGCTGGTGAGAAAAAATGTTTTTCTTTAAAAAATCGCACCTTAAAATACTTTTGTCCATCTTGTGAAAAAGGCTTACGCGATATTCCAGAATTAAAAGATTTAATAAATCGATTGTTAACAGAATTTAACCAATTTAAATTGTCAAATAGTGCAAACTCAGCCATTTCTGAAGATTTCATAACTAATGATTTAAATGATCCTAATCTGACAGCTTCAAATCTAATTGTGTATAATATTCCGGAATCAACAGCTGTTAATACTGCTGATAAAATCAGACATGATGAAATATCAGTATCTAATATTATTAGCTCCATTGTTAGTGATTCGGCTATCAAGCCATTAAAGTTGATAAGATTGGGTAACAATTCCAAGCTAACTCAAAACCTCGCCCAATTAAGATAGTGTTACCTACACCGCGTAATGCATTTGATATTTTGAGAAATAAGAAAAAATTTATATCAATCCAGCCTTCATTGGACATTTTTATCAGCTCTGATTGTACTCCTTATCAAAGGATATTTATGAATAAACTTCATAAACTTCGCTAAGAATTAAAGGCACTTATCTCCAAGGGAAAAAATGATTTAACAATAAAATTTGTAAAAGGTACACCTGCAATTGTTTCAAGGGATCGCCGTTCAACTAATTAGATAAATAATTTTTTACATTAAATATTTTTTATCAAAATGTAAGGGGTTTACTGACTAAACCCCCCTTTTTTCGTAATTATATTTTAAATTTATATAATGATATAATATTTATCACCGAAACATGGTTAAATAATAATGTGTGTGATGCTGAACTTGGCTGTGAAGCTTTTAATCTATTCAGAAAGGGTCGAAAGGGTAGGGGAGGAGGTATTTTAATTGCTGTAAAGAAAAAAAATGTGAGAAAATTAGTATTATCTTCTTAGGTGAAATTGATCAGCTATTTTTAAAACTTAATTTATCAAATAATGTTACCGTCATTATTGGGTATGTTTATATACCTCCTTCTGCGTCCATTGAAAACTACTTTGAGTATTGTGGTTAACTGGAATCTATAGCCTTAAAATTCATTGATAGTTATTTTTTTATAGCCGGGTATTTAATCTAAACTCATTTGATTGGTCTAGGGATCCTATAAATTAAAATCATTTATCTAGTAATACAATATCGAATTGCAATATAAATCTTTTAAAGTTAAAACAAGTTAATAATATAAGTAATGTTAATAACAGACATCTTGATTGTTTGTTTACAAACGGTAATGTTATATCAATCTACCCTAGTGACTCTATAGTTCAAAAGGCTGATATTTATCACCCTCCTTTTTATTCAATTCTAAAATTTGATGTACCAAATGTTATTTATCAGTCCGAAAATTGACCAATCTATGATTTTAACAAATGTAATTATGACGATATTTTAAATTTTCTCTCTAATATTAACTTTGATCTAAACTTAGAATACATTTCACTAGAAGACTCAATAATTAGACTGTCAAAGTCTTGGTCATAGTCTTGTTCTTGATAGCTCAGTTTTGGTCTTGGTCTTGCTTTGCTAACTCAGTCTTGGTCTTGGTCTTGGTCTTGCAAATCTAGTCTTGTTCTTGTTCTTGGTCTTGCTTATTTAGTCTTGTTCTTGTTCTTGGTCTTGCCCATAAAATCTTGTTCTTGTTGTGAGTCTTGTCACAATACTCTTGCAAAATCTTGCATTCATTTATATTTGTAAAAATTTTCTACTTAAAAGGTTTAAATAACGAAGTTATCTACTTCAGTTTGTAAATTCAAATTTAATTTATATGCCATAGGATTTTTAAGTTAGAACTTAATATTAGCATAAACAATATGGATGATTTTTTTATGAATAGTTTGGGGTATTAAAAAAAAATAAACAAATAAATTAAATTATAAAAAAATAAGACGTTATTGAAACAAAGTATTTTTTCACTTTAAACTGATGGCGTAATATTGTCCGAATGGTAACGCAGCGGAAGTGCGGTCGGGGAGGACGCGATTTCGATTCTCCTAGTCGGATAATTTTTTTTGCATTTTAATTAATTTTTTTCATTGAATAATGAACATGAATATATTTATTTTATGAGTTTACCAGTCGCCGGTTTTATGTATCGATTTTTAAAACCGGTTTTAAATAATAATCGCTTTCTGTTCATAGACACAGTTTTTAAAAATTATTGGTTTTGATTAACAAAACCGAAAAAAACTGTTATAACCAGTTTTTATAAAACCAGTTTCAGTCTCCGCTTTAGAAGTAAACAAAAATTTTATCTAATTTTATCATAATGTTTGAAGCACGGAATATTTATTTTTAATCTTCTTTAATTATTTAAAATTAATTAATTACAATTGAATGACAATAAATTTTGAAACATGATTGTAAAATTTTAAGTTAATCGGTAACATCAGCTCATAGGTAATATTTAATTTGAACAATACGCGTAATGAATAAAAATCAAAGTAAAATTTAATATTGTCGAATCTGTCATTAATAATCTTAACGATTTTAACCAACAACAATTTTTTTTTTTTTACAAGAGTGCAATACTCTTGCAGTTTTATTCTTGTTGTTGCAAGATTCTTGCATTTTGAGTCTTGTTCTTGCAAGTCTAGTCTTGTTCTTGTTCTTGGTCTTGCTAAAAAAGTCTTGGTCTTGTTCTTGTCAATTGAGTACAGTCTTGATGTTGGTCTTGCTGATATTATTACAGTCTTGGTCTTGTTCTTGGTTTCGTAGAAATGCAAGACCAANAGTCTTGTTCTTGGTCTCGTAGAAATGCAAGACCAAGCCAAGACTGCAAGAACAAGAGTAATTCTGCTCATCACTAGACAAAATAAATCAACGCTTACTAATCTTATTTTATATTAATCAAAAATTATTTCTGCTTTTAATGAAGGGCAGCAAATTGATTCAATATACACAGATTTTCAAAAAGCATTTGACAAAGTAAGCCATAAACTCTTATCAGTAAAATTAGAATATTTTGGATTAAATGGCTCATTTTTAAATTGAATTAAATCGTATTTATTTAATCGGACTCAAGTCGTAAAATTGCCTTCAGTTATTTCAAATAATATTTAAGTACATCCTGGGGTGCCACAAGGCTCTCATTTAGGTCCTTTATTATTTATTTTATACATAAATGACTTGCCTAGTATTTTCTATACCCCTATAAATATTTTGTTATTTTTGTTGATGATGCTAAAATATTTACGGTTATTAACTCAATGCGTGATTGTATTAAATTACAGTTAAACATTAAAATATCATATAAATGGAGTGTTACAAATAAGTTACCTTTGAACTTAAGTAAATATACAGTTATATCATATTCCCGTAAAAAAGATCCCATTTTCTTTAACTATACTTTGTGTAATTCCAGTTTAACTAGGGTTGATATTATAAGAGATTTGGGAATAATTTTTGAGGATAATCTTTCTTTAACTAGACATATAAATTTGTCAGTCAGTTATTCTTTTAAGAGTTTGGGTTTTCTTAATAAAAATACTTAATATTTAAAAAACATAAATACTTTAAAATTGTTAAATTTTTCTCTTGTCAGATCAAAGCTTGAGTTTGGTTCTTTAGTTTTGTTGTTTAAGCTGTTTACATTAATTTATTAGAAAACGTCCAATACAAGTAGTATACGAGATCTATCTGTTTTAAATTGAATATTAGTCTTTCTAGGGATTCATATTACTTACATTCTACTCAGTTAGGTATTACATTTTGTGAACTTAGAAGAAGAGTTAGTGATCTTATGTTTTTATATAACTTACTAAAGGGTTATGTAAATTTCCCAGAGTTACTTTAAATGGTTGGCTTTAGAACTTGTCATATAAACCTCAGAGTTATTAAACTGTTTTATGTTCTTTTCTTTACCACTAATTATAGCTCAGCATCATATTTTCCTCGAGTCCTTTTGTTAGTTAATAAAATTTTAAACTTAGTTGATTTTTTCTTTATGTCTCGTGATGTCTTCAAGTCGAATACTTATAATGCATTATCTAATTGTGTATTGTAATTTGTTTATTTCTAATTGTTTTTATAAATCTGAGTAGTATTTAGTTAAAATTGTATTTTTTCATTTAATTTATTTTAACTAAGAAATTATTGTATTTATTCTATAGCATTATGTTGTTGGGGTTTTTTTACCCGTTTATAATTTAAAATAATAAAATAATAATATATATATTTTTAAGGGCAATTGTAGCATCATTTCTAACTATATAAAACAACATAAGGATTAAGTATATTCCTAATAAATAGTTACAATTAAATTTTTGTTACTAACGAGGTGTTTACTAACAAAAAATTTCTTATTTCTCAGTAACTGGAATAAAAGTATAATGTAAGTTTTTTAGGATTAGAGCAATTTTAAAAGAGTAGTTTTTAAAATCAGATTGAAGTAGACTATTTGAAACATAACATAATGAATTTCATAAATAAATATTTTAGTTATTAAAATTATATATAACTTTACTTAAAGAATTATTTTCAGTGAAATGGTCTAAAATTATTACGACCTTAAGTTGCGTGTACGCTTAAAAAAATTTAAGTAAATACAACAATGTGTTAAATGTTTTTTGTTGTATTAGTAGACATATAGTATTAAGTGGTATAATCATTTAAGTTAAAATTTAAAAGCGTTCATATTTAACATGTACATGAAATATTTCATCAATTTAAAATATTCCAATTTCTTTTGTTTCATGAAATTTTAAATCACTAATGTCAAATCATCAAATTTTGCACAAATTTTAATTGTAGATTGAAGATTATTGTTCTATTTCTATGAATTTAAAAGTTTGTGAAAATAAATGAATAGTTTAATAGTTTTTAAAGAGAAAATTATTTTAAACAATAAAAATAGCATAATTTTTCTAATAAAAAAAATATTTTTTGAGTTTTTGCGTCCCAAACGCAAGGATGATCAGCCCACCCACCATCATATTGGAAGACACCCCGCCCGGCGCGATTGTGATCAAGACCGAAGCGGTCTTGTTCACGGGCAGGTACAAGTTCACTCCTCCACGGCTCGCCGTGCTAGGGGTGGAGATCCCGCTTAAGGACTCCATGACTTATCTGGGCCTTGTCATAGACAAGCATCTAAAGTTCGGTTTTAAATAAAGAAAAGGTTATAATGGAGCGTTGAAATCATTAAAGTAACAAAGTATAAAAAATAAGCTGTTTAATTATTTTTAAATTATCAATATATTGTTATCGCATGTAAAAAATTCAATAAATTTTTAAAAATAATACATAAAAATATTTGTCTTTAAATAAGGTTTTTTTTTTATCTTGACTTTTATTGAAAAAATCACTTGAAAACCTCTAATATAAGTTTTTTTTATCATTTTATAGAATATTCTCCGAAAATTCGAGGTCAAAACCTTAAAATGCTGTGCACCTCGATTTAAATTTTTCCAAATGATTTTAAATTTTCAGAATATTATTTTTTTATACTAAAGAAAAAAATGGAGGGGTGTCCTGAAAGAAATTTTGAAATTCGAAAAAATAAGGACCACCCTAGGGAGACAGTGATGGATTCCTTGATATTTATTGAAATTAATGAATCTAAATGAGATATACATCAAATGATTTGAAAATTTTTTTAACTTAAAAAAAATGCAAAATATTATTTCAAAGTTTTTGAATAAAACAATTTTTTCCTTAAAAATATATATATATACACACAATATACGAATTATATAAAAAAAAATAAATTATTCAGGGTCATTGTGAAGCTAAAGATATTTTCGTGAATCCTGTAAGTATTTTATTTTGATAAAAACATAATTTATTGATAATATATCGTAAAAAGCGTTTAAAATCTTTTGACGTAATATTAATTAGGGATTGCCTTTTCTGGTACAATTTGACTGATATTTTAAGACCAGGAACTGTTATCTTCATATGGGGTTCTACTTCTTTAGCTACTGGTATATATTTGATTTTTTTCAATAATATTTTTTATAATATAGCTGTAACTATTAAACATAGTTATTTGTAAAAAAATAATAAGATTTTTGTCAATTAGTGTTCATGTGTATCTACAAAGTGGCCAAAATATTCAACAACGTGATAATGTAGTTTTACATGTAACAATAGATTATAATTATCAGGTTATGATCAGAGGTAGTATTCAAAATCAACAGTGGAATGACTGTGAATTTCATGGCTCATCTATACGCCTTAATAAAGGAGCAGACTTTCATTTAGTTATACTGTGTGATGTGGATAACTATAAGGTAAATTGTTCTGTTCATAATAGTAATACGGATATAATTATTAAAATAACTAATTTAAATTATATATTAGCTTCGATGCGAAGCTGAGAAGGTATTGGTTTTACTAAGATGTGTTTTTTTTTTTTTTTTTTTTTTTTTTTTTTT